TCTCTCTCTCTCTCTCTCTCTCTCTCTCTCTCTCTCTCTTTCTCTCTCTCTCTCTCGTTTCTTCCGTTCTTCTTTTTCTTCTTCTCGATATGTATCCTAGTTAAAAATTCGCTGAGAAAGCGGTTATGCATTTCGTGTAACACCCTGCTAACATTTTTATCGTACATAACCGACAGTGGTCGACATATAATGTTTGTTAAGTCAGAAATGACTATTTGCTACTTCGACCTCTGGTCGGAAGCATACGGCAATTTTGTTACAATTTATTTAGCATCTTAACTGCCTAATCTATCGTAATTAGATGACCGATGAAATACGCGTCTGTCCGTCTGTCGTATAAGTCACATGTTATTGGTGAATTTTAAAAAAATTACCTCAGTGTCATGTCGTTGATAGTGCTTCGGTAAAGCAAAAGCATGATGATTTCGTTCAAATTTGAGAAATTTATAAAGTGAGGAATTTAGAAAAAAAATGTACCTCACGTGCGTATTCTAGCGCATTTTTAAATTCGTTTTAAGCAATTTCTCCAGCTTAAAAAATTGATTTTTAATCGTGCACATTGTTATGTTTGTTTCAGAGGGATAGTTCCACTGTTTAGTAAGAGAAAACACAACTGCCACGATGCCTAAGTCGGTATGTATTTCTCTTGTTTGAAGCAGAACTGACCGTGCAAACGCGCGAATAGTTCTAGATTTATGTTAAAAATGACACATTTTATCCTGTTATAAATCACAAGCTTAATTACTTATTGTTGAAAACGCGTTTTCAAATGCATTTTTTAGAGTCGCGATTTACAATCTATTTATTGTCACGTTCATTTTACGACAACGGCACGAAACATTATATTTGTCTCGCAATAACTTATATATGATAAGATAATACATATTCGTTAGCACGGAAAACGGGTGATTTGTGACGTCGACACCTATTGTGAAATTTACCCGAACGATGCTTGCCAGGCAAAACAAGGGAATCGAGATCGCTTTAAGATTCCTGGTCTTCCTCTGCTGGTCTCACTCTCAATTGATGATGTCAAAAGTAAGAAAACGCATGCTCAAAATTCTTGCAAAATACACTGAAACAAAAGGACATGTCGATAAAATGACTTTTAGGATTGATTAAGCACATTTGTAAAATATTCCGAAAACTTTTTTTTTGTTCTAATCAAAGTAACTGGTAAAATTAATTTAACATGCAAACTTTCTTTTTAGTCTACCTTATCTCATGATCTTTTGCCGCAATTTATCAATTAGTAGCGTAAAAGGAAAGTTTATGGAATATTTTATAAATGTACTTGATCGATAACATGTATCATTTTATGGACACAATCTTTCATTTTGACGTATTTCACAAGAATTCTAGACATACGTTTTCTCTTACTTCTGATGTCATTAATCAATATGACAGCGGCAAGGAGCTTTAATTGTTACATATTTGATTTCTGCTTACAGTCGCGTGATAAAAATTCGTGTTTATTGCTTTTTTGTTAATCATAAGTAATTAAATCTGAATTAGTATATAATAAAATGATTTCAATCACGGGCCAAAAATACACTTTGCACTTGACACTGGAGAAAACGGACAAGATAGATATTCTCTTATCTGCCACGGCAATGAATATAATACGAAAAATGTATTCTATTCTTAGAGACAAAGATGCTACGTCTTTCAGACGTTACTTTTTACGAACATTACGTAACATTACATAAGGTGATATCTTTTATTGGGATCGGCGGTAACGAACACTTGTGCGCGCCCAGAGGTGAAACATTGTATTATTATGCGACGTTTGCTGATTGCGGCAAAGTTTTGGTTTCATTTTATTTTTTTCTTTTCTTTTTATGTAGATCAAGTTATATTTGAGTGTATGGAGCGACAAAAACACATATATTAGGATTATTCGAATTGTGTTTCCACATTACAAATGCAACTTAATTTAGCGATATTTTGTTCTTCTGGAGCCTCGCGATATTGGTCAATGTACGAGATAAAAGATTGATTCTTTGAAGGTTTAATTGATAAAAAGTAATTCAAGATTTTTCCTAGTTAGCTCTGAACAGCTCTTTACTAAATGCGTTTCTTTATCGATAAATTTAATAGGAGAATGTATTGATTGTGTTTCATATGAAGAGAACACGCGATTTTCGTTCTCACGTCAAGATGCAAAAACGTAAATAAAAAGCGTGCAGAAATGAAAAGTTACGCAACGAAATGAACGCGCGCGTGGACCGCGTGTGGTTGCAACGGTTGCGCGTGCTCATCGCTTCCGCCAATCGGGCGATATCGAACGCGCCCGCCACTTTTCAAAAACGTTAATCGTTGTCGACGTTACGTGGGCTTCAGGCGGGGTCGCTTCCTTCCGTGCAGCCGGTATCGTAGACCGCGGCGATTGGTGGAGCGGCTTTCTCACGTGACCGCGCAACGCACCGCGCTCGCTCGTAGTGAGAGAAGAGTTGCACCGTTGCGTCGCGTCGCGTTTTCGCCGGAACAGCGATCGAGGGGGAAAGGACGCAGCCGGTTGCACTCGCCGTTCAGCCCATTGTCTAGCTCGAGACCGGCGAAGGTCGACTGGCGCCCGTACGCACGCACGCACGCACGCACGCACGCACGATCAAAGTCAAATTTTGTGGTCGAGCTTTTGCCGCTATTCCTACCGCGTCCCGGCGTCTGAAATTCGTTCGCAGTGCCAGATACTTTCGCGTCGTGTCTTTCGTGATTTATCAGTGCCCTTCCTGCTGTGTGTTGAACGAATCTCGCAGACATGGTTGCCGGCGCTAAGATGGTGAGGCGGCCGTTACCGGTCAATTTGCTTTTGAATCTCAATGCATTGCGACACAAATTCGAGCCGCTTACGTTTAAACGAGAATATCCGTTTCCTTAGTTTTCCACAAGCTTTGCGGGATACTTTTGGAGCGGAATACACACTAATCAATTTGTCAAGAAAGAATTCACCAAAATATTCTAACCGCGACTCCGTTCGACGCCTTTCTTTCGCGTTATCTGACGGCGCCATTATTTTTACATGTTCTGCATCACGAAGATGAACGTGAGGGTGACGACGATGGACGCCGAGCTGGAGTTCGCGATCCAGCAGACGACCACCGGGAAGCAGTTGTTCGACCAGGTCGTGAAGACGATCGGACTGCGCGAGGTATGGTTCTTCGGCCTCCAGTACACCGATAATAAGGGCGACCTCACCTGGATCAAACTCTATAAGAAGGTAGGATACTTGCGCGAATTCGCTCTATAACGTTTGTCTTATTGTTTCTTTTTTCTCTCGTTACTTGTAACTGAGTTTAATTTTCTCGTTGATTGTCTACTCTTAACATTTATCGTCGGTATATTTGTATACGTACAAAGAAAAGTATATCGCACAACTCATTTCTATAACGTTTATTCACGGCGAAAGTAAGTCGGTTATTGAATTTTGCTCTAGCTTCGTTGGCGGTTTGAAAGCAGTTTATTCGTTGAAAGCAAAATTCCACTGTGATCAATTTTCGGTGTCGGTATTGGAAACCTGATGGCGCGACGGTTGTGCCATCGTTATCGCGTGACACTCGACACCCATCCGTGTGTATCGTTAGGAACTTGTTGGGAATTGAGCAAAAATGTATTGCCAAACTACATCTGACAATATGTCAAACGGTTGTAAAGTGGTGGCTCGCTTTATCAGATTATAATCCTATAATGGTAGAATTGTAACTTTGAGATGTTTGTGTATGTGTAGTGATGTTAACCAGGAAGGTAGATAACTGTAGAGAAAACAAGAAAAAGGAGAAATGTATGGAGAGAAACATTTTCTGTTGAGAGTTTCAAAAACTGAGAAAGTGTACTTTAAAGACAAGTGTTGTTGCTATTATTCATGGTAACAGCGCGAAACTTATGTAACGTGTTTCAGAAGCTAGTTTAGACTCGATTTGAAGTTTAGTTCCGAGGGATAGCTTCTAGTGGGTTAACTTTGCAGTTGGCTTTGAATTAAATACCTACATCAAATTTTCGTCTCCTGTATAATGCGAAGTAATTTGCGTATCTTTGCGGTCGAGTGTGCATCAGATTTACGCTTACGCTCACGTAAAGTGTATGGAATTAATGCACGAAGCAGCAGTAATTGCCGACTTCCTAAGGAATTACACACGAGCATTCCGGCAATAATGCAAAGGGTCCTAAATAGCGAGCGATGGTGAAGTACGTTGCGCCGATTCGCACGAAACCTGTTTTTAAGTGGCTGCAACATGGCAATCGAGACTTTCTAGAGTGGTATTTCTTTAATTTCTTCGCATTATATACATACTGGGATATGTATCTCACACGATCAGATCGGCGCGACAGAGGTTTTTTTTACAGCTACATTGTTCGCTACCAGTTATCAAGAATTCTCGGTTTCTTAGATCTTGGCTCGTCGGTAACAAACGCTGACGTCATCTTCTTTCAAGTGCGAGACACGTGTTCGATGTTCTTGCGTTTCTTTTTCTAACCATGTGATGTGCGGTTTTTCTGACGATGCGTGTTCTTCAGACATCATATAACTGTACAAGTTCGTCAAAATCTATTTCTTTTTTGAAAATTTCGAATGTTACAACAAAACTTTTGTTATTTCAATACTTCTTCTCCTAAAGGTATCATCTCAAATCCAAATATATTGAAATCAACCAAGTATTCGATAATTTTCGCGACTTGATCGGAAACGAGGACTACCGGTACATATCATATCGTGTTTGAGAAACTTTCAAATCATATACACACACTGAGGGAAATGTCTGATGATACTAACCAGAATTCTATTTAGGTTTACCAAACGATATGGTGAATAATCGTGTAACAAGATATTTAGTCAATGATACCAAACTATCTGGTGAGCACATTGTCTAAGTAGCATTACAGTGATGCTTAAATATGTTTACCAAACCATCTAGTACAACATATAATTCATTTGGTGAATATTGTGTGTGTGTGTATGTGTGTGTGTGGGGTGTGTGTGTGTGTGTGTGTATATATATATAGTTATATATATAATTTTCATATACTTACTGCATATGTTCATATACTTCTAAATTTTTCGACATATTTTAAGAGATTCCATTCTTCCGAATATCTGACTGTTTCAGCGTTTACTCTTTTATAGCACCGACGTCTTTACAAATTAGTACAGATGAAAAAAGTAACGTCGCAACGATTAACTATCGCGTCTATAGTACCACACGTCTAGAAAGAATTACCAAACTGTCTAGATGCCTTGGTATCAACTATCAGATGTGTTGAAGCATTATGTAATGTTTTCAGAATATTGGATATGTGAACCAGATATTGCATATAAATTTACCATATTACTTTCATAAGACGAGTATAGAATCATTCACCAAGCCATTTCTCTCAGTGTAGGAAAATATTATTCTATTACTAAGAGAAGCGATTACTCAGTCTACTTTTTTTGAGGTGTAATGCTTATCTTCAACAAGGAATATTTCCTTTATAATAGTCTTAAAATATATTCTACATTCTCAAAATATTTTATAGATATAAGTCTTAAAGAAAAAAAAATACATATATATATATATATATATATATTTATTTATTAAAAGTTTGAGAAAAAAGCTCATTATCTTTAAAAAAAGAATGTAATCTACAAAAATATTATAAAATCATATCATGGAAGAAAGAGTTGGTTTGACTCTATGTAGGAAGTAAACCGGATTTATGTTTTAACTTAATATTCTTGTTTGAAATGTTAAACTTACCAAGATGCAGCATGTATTTTGAATAAATTTGATGCTTATGTGACAAAATTGTATGACAAATTTACGGCTATATAAACTCATGTACTTGAAACAACCAACATTTACTTGAACGCGATATGTATTTTTCTGTCTGTATACTTTTCTCTCGAAGTTGTATCTGTAACTACACAAGTGGCTGCAATTTTACGGAAAAATTTGGCATTTGAAGCGGTATAAGACTCGTTTGATTTGGTTATTTTCTGTTCAAGAAAAACTGAAAAATTATAGTTGCACGTGAATCTATAATGATTTCCTGTATAGAACTTTCTTAGAAACAATCAATTCTGCTGCAAAATCATAATCTTGTAGGATCGGTAATTAATAGTCAACGCTTGACGAGTCAGCATGCATTCGGTTTTACTACCTGTTCGAGTGACTTCAATTTTCGAATCCGAGTACAGTTAGCCGCAGACCAGTTACTCGCAGGTAGACGCTACTTCATCGGCTTTCACCGGCTGGTTAGCAGCAGCGAGAGACGCGCCTTCACCTTGACACACAGTCGCCGCTTCTCGCTCGACTAGTCGTCTTTTTCAGCAGGTCGCCGATTTTCTCGTTCTCTGCGACAGTCTAACTCGTTTCCAGATTTCTTGTTCCGTTTCCCTCGAATGTGATCTTTTCGCAGACTTTCCAACGTCTTCGACAGGAAAACCTTTCATCGGGAAAAACCGGCGCGACAGGTGCCTGCCTGGCTCGCCCAGGTGGAAATTGTCATGGTTGAACACCAGACACGAACTCCTAACCGATACTGGCATCTGACAACTAGCTGGTGTCGAGCGATAGTCGAGCGAAGTCTCATCTCGGCGCTACTAAGCGTTTTTATTTTGAATCTCGCTAATTCAATAAACATTGAAATCGAATTGCTATTTTGGCGATGATTTGTCGGAGTGATACAATTCGAACCATTTCCAGCGTTACACGTATAATAATTTTGCTTCTACTTGGGCGCTATAGAGACCAGATTCCAAAGTTGTATCGTATGAAATCTCGTAGAAATTAGTTGTACTAATTTGTGCCAGACTTATTGCGCTTTTTACGGCAAAACATACATGAATAATATTGCCTGATTCGGCTGATTTTGTTGCGGTGTTGCAAATCGTGGTAGCTATTTTACTGGGTATCGCTATTCGTGCACATTGCACTTTAAAATGCATCGTGTCAGTAGCACACTTTTATGCGATAAATAAAACATTAGGGCTAGATTCCAATGCAGATGAATAGCTGCTAGAGAACAAAAGATGAGAAATAGTATATAGGTTAATGTGTTAAAACACGAAAGAGATGTATGTGCAACCATTTATCGCGACTCGTACTCATGGCCGAATAGAATGACTTTAACGTGAATTTAACATATACCGTTGCAGTGAATGGTACTAATAATTTCTCCGCGTGGGTAACAATGTTTGTCAAGTTTTAATGGAACGATTGCACGCAGCCGGAAAGCGCGATAGCGAGGGTGGTGAAGAAGGAAGTGAAAAAGAAAGTTCGAAAGCTGAGAGGCTACTCGGACTCGGATACGGACGACGACGAGTTCGACGACGGTCTGGTAAGAGTCCGAAAAGATGCGATCCTTTCGTTTCCCGACACTCGTTCTGATATGAGAAAAGTTGTGGAACGGTGCGTTTGGAGAAACGCGATGACTAACGGCTAGTGATACGTAGAGTGAGATTTTAAGCGCGGTAGTCGAACAAGTTCTTTTCTTCTTCTCAGAAAAAAACATTACGAAAAATCGATCGAAAAAGAACGGAGAAAGGTTAATACATGTCTGGAGATAGATGGAGCGGTGCATAAAGATGTGTAAAAAGTGAATTCTTCAGATGCTACTCCACCCATGGTGCTCCCATCTCGGGAAGAAGATAACATTCCGTTGTCGATTGGCGTTGTCGTTTGGCGAGTCTCGCCAGTAGAGAGCAGAGCAGAGATTTAAAAGGAGGGCGTCGTGCCGAGATTGTCTTTGTAGAAGCGAAGCGTTTATCGCGTCGTGGATGCGCGATAAAGAAGAGAAACGAGAGAAACGAGAGGGGAAGCACAACCGCCCGCGCGCATTGTCCGATACGCGTATCGCTTATTAAACGATCCAATCGAGTGTGTTACGTCAGTTGTATGAAAATACCACTCAATGAGTCACTCGGGGAACCGCCTAAGGAATTTCTTCGTGCGAGAAAGCGTGAGGGAAATTTCTCTCTCTCTCTCTCTCTCTCTCTCTCTCTCTCTCTCTCTCTCTCTCTCGTTATTTTTCATGAAAAAGAAACTATTAGCGTCTTTTATTTCTGATATTTTACAATAGAAGCTGGAAACTGTTATAACTGCTGTATGCAATTTACACTTTGCCTTAATTAGTGACGCGGAATCGTTGATTACTCTGCTCGCTTTTCTCTCAGATCTCTTTATGGCGCGCGACCTTCTTTCAATTAGGATTCGTATTAACCCTTTAACAAAGGTCGACTCTCTCGCGTGAATCGTGAACGTTTGTCGAGCGCGATACGTTCGTTGAGATTACGCGCGTTCTTTCTTCGCGTTCAAGTCCAACTAACGGACTTTTCTTTCGTGTAGTAAAACATCATCGTAAATCATACTATAGAAGATGGATATATACATGTAAGAAGTATTGGAAGAAACATCGAATATTTTTGATCATGTTTGTCGTATTGTTTTTAGTACGCGATATAGAATAATAGCTTCTATTGTCGGCTAAAACATAAAAATATGGCTGGAATTTTGTGATAACGAGTAACTTATGAAGCACGGCTAATCCTTCCAATTGTGCCTGGGAGTGTACATTTCGCAATTAACTGTGCGATGAATTTATCGCTAATTGAATCATAATTCGTTGTTATGACCGTGAAGCACGCGTGCGTTCAAGTGATTCAGACATGGATTAGCACGGAGATTTTTCTTCAAGATGCAGACCACTATCGTTCATTTATCGCTCCTAAGCCGATTAGAGTATTTTATGACAAAGTCAAACTAACAGAATCTATCGAACTATGGATAGTAGTAGAAAAAATGGAGATGCAGAAAGAAAGCGACATTGAGTTACGTATCGTCTTTTCTTCATAATAGAACAAACGCAACTTGTTTGTATTTCATTAAGAAATCAAGTCGAAAGAATCCAATGTCATTTGTTTTTTCTTGTCCTCTTGTCAAAGCACACACGTGGACAATATCTAATTTTATTGTCGCACGAGTGTCACTGTCAGAACAATCGTAACCGTGCGGTAAGGTGTCCCCTTTATAAAACTCGCCTAGAAGAAGACGATGCTTCATCTCAAGGACTCTGTTTCACTGGGTTGGTCGCAGGGATGCTTGATCACTGGCACATCGCGCTGCTCCGTAACAGGTTACAGGTCGAAAAAGGCAATTCACACAGGTGCGTTCCGCAGTCGTGGACTGTGGACTGTTACGTAACGCAAGATCTAGCAACCCGACGCATCGCTTTCCGCGTGTCATTCCTGCCCTCTTCTCTGCGCCTCACGCAGATCGAGGTTGCATTGTGAGCACCGATGCAACCGATGAGGACTAACGTAGATTAACACCGGATCGGTTTCTCGTCCCACCTCTTTTGGAAATGTAAATGATGCTTAAATTATGACGCGAAACATTTTTTAAAGCAGCACTCGAGGCAGAGAGAGAGAGAGAGAGAGAGAGAGAGAGAGAGAGAGAGAG